TTATATTTATATTTATATTTATATTTATATTCCCAGAACTGCAGTGCAGGGCCTGGTTTTGTATGCCTTAAATACCTGAGCACTATGAATACAAGTTGTTTCAGTATTTTTGGACTGAAGAAAGATAAAAGTAATAATTGTGAATCACCACAGTTTTGCACTCAGGCAAGCGGGGCTGAGCTGAGATCATTCCCAAAGCATAGCTTTGCATTATATCTGTTTCTGGTGGATGCAAGTACAGGCGTGATTAATTGGATGGACAACTTCAGGTTTGTCATGTCACCAGAATGGGAGGACAGGGGCGTGTGATGGTCTTGCAAGCACTCCTAGAGGATTTCTTTAGTACTGGTATCCTGTATGTAATGTCCTGTGATTGATCCATGACTCATGACTTAGGAAAACTTATGCACCTCTCTTGTTCAGGGTTCTATGGTTTGCTCATTTAGGCAGAGCAAAATCACAGTTTTAGTACAAACCTAGATGCTACAAGCATCTTTGTGTTGAGACTGACAACCATGCAGAGACACTGAAGTGAAATTAATGTTGGTCTTGGGCAGCCTTGCAGATTTGTGTTCAGTGGCTTTGTTCAGGATCTGCTGGAGAGGTTTTCCCAATCTTTATTTTCCTATCTCACAGAATAGAAGTACTACGTCTTGTTAAACATAACTAGCTGCTGAAACAGTTCAAATCATGCTGTTTTCTCCATCATTTGAAATCATTCCAGACTTACTCTTCTTTAAAAGGATGTGCAAGAGGTAGTTAAAGCTCAAGATATAAGCTAGGCTAAACTATTTGAAATTTGTCCTCAACATCCATAAATTAACCTAGTTTTAACCAGGACTCTTAAACTGTTGTGTAAATAAGTCCAGGCAGCTTTTAAACATTTATATGAACCCTGGCTAGCCCTTAGGAGGATCCAGGATTGTATGTCAACCAGCTGCTTGCTTCAAACAGAATTGCTTCTAATCTTCAGGGCTGGGGTAAGATTTCAAAAAGCACTGTTTTGAAAAGAGACTTGAGCATGCAGAAGCCCTGTTGATTGGCACTGAAAATTAAACTCCCCAGTGCATCAACTTTGAAACCTGTTTTTTTGCTAACATGTAGAGTCAAATTACTGAAACAGTAAAGTATCATTTGCTGATCTAGACATGATTTACTGAGACATTGTACACATGAATGGAATTGTTTTGATGAGAACAATTTACTTGCTTTGTCTGCAATGATTTAACCAGGAGATTGCAAACAAGGGCAAGTAATATGCTGAATGCTAACAAACCATAATCTTCCCTGGGAGACTGGAAAAATTTTCTTACTTGGAGCTGACTAACCTGAATGGGCAAAACGAAAACATAATTGGAAAGTCCATGGCATAGGCTGATTAAATAACATAAGGAGCAGAAGTAGGTCATTTTCAAATGTACCCCTCATTTTGTGCATGAAGCTCAAAAGTAGTACAACTGAAAAAGGTTGAAGTCGCGAACTGACTTGTCATGCTAAGCATTTATTAAATACATTTCCATTTTCTTCTACTAAAGTCAAACAAAAATGCTACTTATGTAGATATTGCTGTACAGCTTTTATGGATTTGCCCTCTAGTTCTGTGGGGTTTTGGTAACATTAACAAGCTTTTAATAATGTAATTTTACAAGATTTATACAAATAACCTGAGCTACTTCTCAAATGCGAAGGTGCTGATCCCACAGGTTACTGGGTGAATGGTCACTTGTAGAAAATTTGTTTTTAAAAGGGGAGAAAAAGGCTTGTTCTTCATCCAGTTTCCATTTACCCTCAAAAAAGAGGGAATGGAAAGAGATCTTGGGTTACTCCTTCCCTTATCCGAGAAGAACTTTGTCACGTGACCTGTGTTGGTATTTTTGTCCCACTTAAAAAAAAAAAAGGTGGGTGATCATCCGTACCTGAGATCATCAGGGTGGTGTTGAGCTCTAAGCACGACAGTTATTTTCACATGTAATTGCAATGCAAAATATCCAACTATATCAAAAGCAGAAGCCTAAATGGGGAAGCTAAGTTGGTTGTGTATCTTTTAAAATAAGTAGCAAGCACAACACTGGAGTTTGGATAGTAGTTCTGGAAATTGAGTAATATGGCAAAGGACTGCGGGGGCCTCAGAATCCCATCACTGGCTATTATTGAAGTCAGAAAATAAATGTGAAAGTGTCCAACCTAAAGGGAAGCAAAAGGGTTGGGGATGTCTGCAAACCACCTGCATTTCTATGCTGTATCTTAGATGTGTGTAGCCTAATGTGTTACTACATCTCACTACATGCATGTATATATTTCAGTGCGAGGTCAGGACTGGAATATGACAGTGCAAATATAGTAGAGATTATTAGGACTCTTCAGTAAGTTGTTATACTTCTGGGCCCTCTTTTGGCTAAACATGGTAATGCATATAGCAAAACTAGGATTGCTGAAAGTACGTGACCGGGAAACGTAACTTCAAGCCAAATGCTATACTAACTAGGTCAATGTCTCAAGTGTTTCCTACATATTTGCATGTAAGAGGCAATGAAACAGAAATGAAAATAGTTTCTCTATTATGAAGACATAACCCGGTGGATAGATGACGGTAGTGCAGTGGATATGGTTTATCTTGATTTCAGTAAAGCATTTGACACCGCCTCCCACAGCATCCTCGCAGCTAAACTGAGCAAGTGTGGTCTGGATGATCGGGTAGTGAGGTGGATCGTGAACTGGTTGAAGGAAAGAGGTCAGAGAGTCGTGGTCAATCAGACAGAGTCCAGTTGGAGGCCTGTATCTAGTGGAGTCCCTCAGGGGTTGGTACTGGGACCAGTGCTATTCAATATATTCATCAATGACCTGGACGAGGGCACAGAGTGCACTGTCAGCAAGTTTGCTGATGACACAAAACTGGGAGGAGTGGCTGGCACACCAGAAGGCTGTGCTGCCCTTCAGAGAGACCTGGACAGGCTGGAGAGCTGGGCAGGGAGAAATGTAATGAGATACAACAAGGGCAAGTGTCAAGTCTTGCATCTGGGAAAGAACAACCCCAGGTCCCAGTCTAGACTGGGGACTGAGCTGTTAGAGAGCAGCGTAGGGGAAAGGGACCTGGGGGTCCTGGTGGGCAGCAGGATGACCATGAGCCAGCAATGTGCCCTGGTGGCCAAGAAGGCCAATGGCATCCTGGGGTCTATTAGAAGGGGTACGGTCATTAGGTCGAGAGAGGTTCTCCTCCCCCTCTGCTCTGCCCTGGTGAGACCCCATCTGGAATAGTGTGTCCAGTTCTGGGCCCCTCAGTTCAAGAAGGTCAGGGAACTGCTGGAAAAGCCCAGCACAGAGCCACAAAGGTGATTGAGGAGGTGGAACATCTCCCTTCTGAGGAAAGGCTGAAGGAGCTGGGTCTCTTTAGCTTGGGGAAGAGGAGACTGAGGGGTGACCTCATCAATGTTTATAAATACGTAAAGGGCGAGTGTCAGGAGGATGGAGCCGGGCTCTTCTCGGTGATGGCCAATGACAGGACAAGAGGCAATGGGTGCAAGCTGGAGCACAGGAGGTTCCACATGAACATAAGGCAAAACTTTTTCACTGTGAGGGTGACAGAGCCCTGGAACAGGCTGCCCAGAGAGGGTGTGGAGTCTCCTTCTCTGGAGACATTCAAAACCCGCCTGGACACGTTCCTGTGTGACCTACTCTGGGTGGTCCTGCTCTGGCAGGGAGTGGGACTAAATGGTCTTTCAAGATCCCTTCCAACCCCCCACATTCTGTGATTCTGAGGTTCTTACTAACCACAAAATCAGAGAAAAAGCTTTAATTATGGAACTCAAACCTGTTAAGGGTAGAGTCCATTAAATCACATCAAATACTTCAGAGTAATAAAAAAATTTAGAATATAAAATATCTATGTCATGATGATAAACTTAGTTTGTATTAAAGAGCCTATAAAAGGAAATAATATTTAAAAATCAAAAAAAAATAGAAAAATGAACTATCTATCTTTTAACAAAATCCATATTTTTTAAAAAAAAAAGCATATTTGAAGGTGGGCTAAGTATATGTTGATCAGCAATATTAATTTACTAGTTTAGACATTACCTTAAATGCCTTTTTCTTTTACCCAGGTAAAGAAATCAATCTCTTGTGCAGTAAATTTTTAGAGATCACAAGCATACATTTGCACTGGGACAACCAGGACTCTACCAAAAAATCCCTATGTATAATTTTGAAGTTAGCCAGAGCATACTGGATGTGACGAGCTTTATTTGTGGGGGAAGAGAACTTTCCTGTAAGGACATGGAGCTTTAATGTTTCAGGTAGCTTCACACGCAGAGAACAGTTCCAGACACATTAAATTTGCTAGTATAGAGATCTAGTGTTCTTTCCATAATGGTATAGCAAGGAATACAATCAATAATTGGGTCTTGTGTTTTCCAGACACTCAATCTTCAACTAGTAGACAGGCCATGGAGTGGGGAAGGGTGGATCACATTGATGACATGAGTTTAGAACTCTTCTTTTCTATTAGATCCTCATTTGTCCCTAGCTTTCCTCCCATCATAGTCACCACACAAACATGTTTTTACTTCAGTCTTTCAGGATGTCCATGTGATGATATTTGTTGGATTTGGTTTCCTGATGACCTTTCTGAAGAAATATGGATTCAGCAGTGTTGGTATCAATATGCTCATTGCTGCCTTCGGTCTCCAGTGGGGAACCCTGATGCAAGGATTTTGGCACCTGAAACAAGGGAAAATTCATGTTAATATCAAAAGGTATCTATGAATTTACCAAACTTCACATTTTTATCCCTTAAGATATTAGAGAAGCCATAAACTACAACATCTGTGGGATCAGACTTCTAAGTTCACTGAAATCTGATTGAGCCTTACTGTCTACCTCTCAACATCCGACTGCCTTTCACCTCTAAAGGGGCAACATCTGGTGCACTGGGCCAAGTGAACCAAAGAGTGGGATGAAATCTTAGGTGCTACATTACATGTGGTCCTCAGGTCGTGCAGAGAGACTGATTTGAATCACTGGAGATGTGGAAGCTGGAAGATTTCCAGCAGTAGCAGCTCTTGCATCCAGCAGGCATGAAAGGATCTGTCCTTCTGTGACACATGGGGTCACAGAAGAAAGGCTGGAACAGTGTGTCTATCCACTCATGATGTTTCATTCTGCTTCTCAAGGAATGATTTGCATGAGCACCTTGCTGCAGTAGTTTTGGACCCCAGTCATAGAATAAGAGACCTCATGAGCAATGTCTCTAGATACTTTTAATACCCTTCCCATTCATCTGTCTGGCTTCTGCCAAGGTCTCAGAGTGTTTTCCACATCTGCAGTTCTGTCTTCTGAGACAACTTGTAGACAAATTTGAAAGGAACAGCTTCCAAATGTTACTGAGGGATAAGTAGAAATAATATAAGTAGCTCTTTAATGCTTACAGACAGGCATTTGTAGGGGAATCTATAAGCTAGTGACCCTCTATGCTGCAAGTTTTTGGACAATTCATGGTTTTATTTATTTTTGCCTTGTCTCATAAGCTATTAACACTGGTCCTTCCTGAGAGCTAATCAAACATGATGCACAGTGATAGAAAGGCATAAAGGCTTTTGAAATGAGATAAACCATCTGAATGAAGCTAAGAGCTCCCTGTCATCTTTGGAGTTCAAGTGACAGTCAGAGCTGGAAATGTCCCCGCACATCCTCAACACACATCCCATCTGACTTTTCACTATAATTTCAACCAGTTAAGCACATATATGCTATATGCAGGAGGTAATATTCCCACAATTTTTCCTCAGTAGATGGTAAAATCACTAGAAAACCCAGCTGGAAAGGTTTGATTTAATTTTTATCCACAAAGATGATGTTGATAATTTTATATCTGAAGAATTAAAGCTCTATCATTTTAATGACATGACAGGTTTGATATTTCAGCCTTATTTCAGGTCTCTTTAAACTGATCTTCTTTTTTCCTGTGTTTTTGTTTTGCTTTATTCTGTTCTTATTTGTTTTCTTAATTTCAGCATGATAAATGCAGACTTCAGTACAGCAGCTGCTTTGATTTCATTTGGAGCAGTCCTGGGGAAAACAAGTCCTGTTCAGATGCTGATCTTGACGATTCTGGAGGTCACAATTTTTGCATGCAATGAACATCTAGTTACAGAAATACTTCAGGTACAAGCATTTAATATTTTTTTTTCTGTTAATAACAAATGCTTTCACTTCATAATACTTCCAGTTTACATTTTCTAGGTTCTAGTTTCTACCATAGAAAATAAACCATTAAAGTCATCCAGACTTCTCCTTCATCAAATCCTCTTCTTTATGCTGTATAAATTGTGGCATTATTTTGGGTCCCTATTACAGGCCACAGATGTTGGCGCTTCAATGACTATCCATGCTTTTGGAGCTTATTTTGGCTTGGCTGTAACCCTAGTCTTGTATCGTCCTGGTTTGAAAAACAAACATGAAAATGAAGAATCTACCTATCATTCAGACATATCTGCCATGATTGGTAAGTGAAGTAATAGTGAGTGCTGATCAGTTGTTCATCCCACTTTCATTCCTATGTTTTAATGATTACGCTGCATCCATTTTCTCAGGTACACTCCTAAAGGCATATACTTTTTTGTCTGATGGATGTACAATGCTCTCAGTGACACACATACTTTTACTTCTCCTTGGTTAAAAAAAGCAAAGATCAAATTAAAGATGCGTTTTCACTGCATATTAATGATGGCTCCCTTTTTGTTAAATCTTCTGCTATAAGCACCTTTTCCATAGAAATTGGCCATAATTAGAAGTATTGAGCTGTGCCTGTCCTGCTAATAAATGTTAGAAACCATACATCTATCTGTCCATGAGATCTATTCATAGCTCAATTTACCAGGTAAAACTATCAGTTATATCAATAGATGACAAAGGATTTGCATGCAAACTGCCTTGCTGATTCTGTATGGTTTTCACAGTGGTGGTGAACTCTGGCAGTGAGAGGGGCATGACAAGGGTCACAATGTGTTGAAGTCTTCCAGTAAGATTTGACAGAGGCCATGTGTGAAAATCTTAGCGGCCGGTGTCAAAAGCTTCTGCAGAATCTATTATTTCTTCCAGCATTTTGGCCATTTTATGTTTCTTATTGATCATCCTCATTTCTTGTAGCTAGTTCTGTTGTGTTGGATCTTTGACTTTGGAAAATCCCTTGTGACTGAAGAGTCTTTGTTTTGTTTTGACTTCTATTCATCCAGGTACCCTGTTCCTTTGGCTTTTTTGGCCCAGTTTTAACTCTGCCATTACAGCTCAACCAATTTCCCAGGTTAAAGCAATTGCCAACACTTACTATTCCTTGGCTGCATGTGCTGTCGTAACATTTGCCCTCTCCAGCCTGGTGGATCAAAGAGGCAAATTCAGTATGGTAAGAATCACATCACAACCTCTGTTAAATCGAGTTACCCCTCTATAATAAGGATGATTAGGCAGATTCCCAATGTCCATGAGCTATGTGGAGCCTTTGCTCATACTGTGGGCAAAATTAGAGCTATTCTACTTCTAAAAACTATAATGTAAGATTGAGCCCTGAGGCAACCCACCCTGCTTTAGGCATGTGGTTATTCCTCAGGGGGATCACTGCATCTGGAGAGTGAAAAGCTCTTGGACATCATAGTGATGGTCCTGCTCCCTTGTTCTCTCTTGTCCACAGAACCTGCTGCACCATAGAGACATTAGTCCAATGTTCAGGTATCCTTTTGGGTCTTATTCCAAAGAAATTCCTGTATGAGTGACTGTATTCTAATAGCCAAAATAAGCCTCTCCAGGCAACGAGCTGTTCCCTGTCAGTCTCACAGTGTAGCTGCACAATAGGCAAAGCCAAACTAGGTTGGGGCCTCCAGGCTGCCAACCTTTCATCTCCTTGCCCTAAAATCCAGCTCTATGTTTTCACCCACTTCTTTCCAGCAGTTGCAGTGTTTATCTAAGCCCAGCGTAAGCAGGCCCAGTTCAATGAGCTTGCAGAATCTGCTGCTGCTGCTGTAGAAGGCAGCTCTCACTGGCTCCACCTGGCTTCTGGAGAGATTAGATGAGTTTGCAAAAGTTGGACTTCATTAAACTGGCTGCAGTTGAAATGGCTTAGAGCAGCTTTGAACCAACGCTCTGAATACGTAACAGGGAACCCTGGTTTAAATTCCTGTTCATTCTTCGCTGGAAAAATCCCGCCTGAAGAAAAGGAAAACTTCTCTATTCAGAAAAGCTTCAAAGTCACTCATCCCTAAAACAAGCCTCTGTACCACATGATTCATCTCCACCTCTGCATACTCTTTGCAGGTTCTCATTCAAAATGCCACTCTGGCAGGAGGAGTAGCAGTGGGTACCTGTGCTGACCTGTCAATCCCCCCTTTTGCCGCCATGTGCATTGGGAGCGTTGCTGGAATCATCTCTGTCCTTGGGTTCCACTTCCTGACTGTAAGTATTGAGGACCCACCTCTGCTCCCATTTACTTATTGCTTCATTGGTTTTACTGAAGCTCCCTTGGTTTGCTAGAAAAGGAGTTTAGAAACTGCCGGGTACAGTATTGAGAGTAAGCTCTAGGTAATGGTTATTTTTAAATCAGTGTGATTTACATATAGGCTTATGAGCTAACTTCAGTCCATCACCTAGCTAAGAACAGAGAAGGATCATAAAGATATTAGAGTTCATTAAAGCTGCAATTTGCATTCAAGAAGCTGCCAGAATTTTGCTCCAAGTCCATGTTTCAGTGAAATAGGTCTAATTACATTTCAGTCTTCCAAAATTTCTAAATAGATCTGTAATCAAAAAATACTTCTGAAGTATGAAATGGAACTCTTTCATGTGAAAAATGTAGAAAAAAATATTCTAACTAAAACTGTTTAAAACTGGCATTTCCTGATGGAGAAACATTCTGGAAGAAAATATCTGACTAGCAGACTCAGAACAGGCGTGTGTGTGTGATTTAGCCAACCCTTTCAATCTTTGCTGCAGTGGCTGAAAGGATTAGGAATATCAGTGGACTGTTGTATGTTTTGTACCATTATATTAATTAGGGCAGCTTAGACATTTGTACCATTATATGTACATATTTGCTTTTCTCTGCATATAATGATTTCACAGTGAAGGGAAATATAGCAGATTTTATAGCTAGACTTTGTGTACATTGAAGATGTTAAATTGTTTCTTGTACTTTTGCACTACTTTCTTTTGCATTCCATTCTAGAGATAATGGAAGACTATAAACTCACTAAAAACTTCCTATTATTTCCCCTCATTTCAGCCTTTGTTGGCATCCAAGTTGAATATTCAAGACACTTGTGGAGTTCATAATTTGCATGGTTTACCTGGAATACTGGGAGGTATTGCTGGCATCATAGTAACTGCAATAAAAAATGAAGTTAGGTGAGTTATAGAGAGAAGACAGAAAGGACTTTATCGATTTTTGAAAGTCTATCCTGATTTTCCGCCTTCCTTGGATCTAATTACGATTTTTTTCAGAAAATGCATCTTTGATTTGATGTCAGACACCATGTTCTGGTTTAAATAGGACTCTTCTTGATATCCTGCCTTTAACACACCATTTATATGCCAAGCTTGTTCCAAATTAAAAGCTCAAGTAAAAATAAACATATTAAAAACAACATAAAAAAGAGCATACAGAACCATTCAAAGATAGAAGAATAATATGATTCTACAATTACACTGCTGGTAACTATAAGATTTCCAAGAAAATGGGCAAAATGGTCTATTTCCACTCTCTCAAAAGGCTCCAAGGAGATGAAATGCTGGTCTTTTTGAAAAAGGGGAGCATTCTTTAAAGGCTTACAAAATACTAATAACTTTTTCAAAGAACTTGTTTTCATCTGTAGTCTAAGACAAAACCAAAATAAAATTATGATTTCTGTCTTGTACACAGCAATGGCAGATTATTTTCCTTATGAACCATCTTGCCCAGCAGACAGCAAGTACAATGTTGTAAGACCAATTACCAGTCTCAAAGTGTAACAATTTTTTGTCAATGGCTTATTTTTCTGCCCGTTTCAGAGAAGGTGTCCGCCTTACTCCTGGCATGCAGGCTGCTGCCCTGGGCAGTACAATTGGAATTGCACTAGTAGGCGGAGCATTGACAGGTCAGTATGATGCAAATGAAACACGTGCGAATTTAGAGGTTTGCCCGTGGAGAATTTCAATATATCAACAATTTCCTGTGAATAATACAAAATAGAAAAAGAGATATAACTCATGATGGCACACTGACAGAAATTTAAATATGCAAATGCAGTTTTCTAATAATGTTCTAGATATCTTACTGAATACATGCTTCAAAGATACTGAGTTGTACACATAGGAATAGTAAGATGTTCTGGATGGAATTCTTCTCTAGATTAAGACACTTAAAATTCTGAACAGAAACTAGTTTGAGATTAACACATATTCATTTACCTGTCACATGTTTCCATGTGATTGTGGATACTTTCCAAACAAAAATTCAGGCTGAAATAGAAAATTCCAGTCTGAAATCTGGGAAAGGTTTGAGCAATTAAAAAACAGCTTTTATTTGTGTCAACATGAAGAAACATGTGTCACCTCTTGTAATGAGTGACCTGGTGTCCCAAGGTGGTTGGGCATTTCCATAGACTAGAAAACGAGTCAGCAAACTGAGACGACTCCTCAAGGTACATCGAGGAACACTTATTTGGGCAATTTTGTCCATTTTTTAACCTCTGATGCTGTTTTTCCTGCAGGCGGTATTCTAAAGCTGCCCTTCTTGGGACAAGTATCTGACCAGAACTGCTTCGACGACTCTGTTTATTGGGAGGTAAGATACAACCTCCCTTTATTTTCATTGTATTGGAAGATGCACAGCACACTGCAGTCCTGCTCTCCTGCGGTTTGTGGTTTGCTTGCACGAGTTTACTTTCAAAAATGTTGCTCTACCTCAGGCTGTGGATTTAACAAGGCCACCTTCAGGATCTTCTTTGGACTTGCTAGCTAGTTGTGCTATTTACATTGGACTAACCTTGAACAAGAAGCAGAAATAGAGCCAACAAACTGAAACCTCAGTGGAGCTCTTTATCTCTCTTTTAAGTGCTTGCTGTGTCAAGTATCCTCTTCCTTCTTGTAGTTTAGACACATGATATTTGCATTTTTGGCTAAATGGTGCTTCTTTTCTAGTGACATCTAGAATTTCAACCTGAATGAAATTTAGAGCACTTCTTCAGTATTTGTAGGGTCAGTGTCCCTTAGGCTGAGCAGAAGCTCTTCTGCTTCCTGGTTGGATGATCTGACGAGTGAGCTTATCAGAAGAAGGGGCCTCCTGGCACTATTGTTTTATGTGTGAAGACAGACAATTCAGATGAGAAACAAGTATATCTGAAACAGCCTTGCTAGGCTTCCTTCATGCTCAACAAAGAGATGGCTCTAGATTGCAGTTCCTTTGAGTCCTTCGAGATCCTGTTAGGTTACATGAATTAGAACCTTGAAAGTCTCTATACTCGTCACTGATAGTGAAAGACCTTTCATTGCCTATCTCAAATGTAGATCTCTATACTGTAGAGACCTAGATTTGATCATTTGAATCCCACATACATCTCTGAGTTGGATGCCTACAATAAAGTGCGCAGCAAAAACTCAGACATACCTTTCCTCTTGGCTAACCTAAGAAGCTCCCTGTACTGTTTGTAGGCTTTCTGCATCTCCATTCATTAGAGACTGATGACAGAATCTTCATTTAGTCAATCTGAATTTCATCCTTTATACCAGGACAAACTCAAAAAGGCAAAACAAGAAGAAATGCATGATATGTATTCCTTGTAAATAAAATGTTGTGAACTCAAAAGAATATTTTGTTACTTTTATAATGAATTAAGCTTCAGTATGAACCACACTATTTGGCTTTTGGTGAGAGGAAGTTTGCAGTCTAAGGGGAAGTTCTAAGCCAAAAGACCAGCTGTTGCAGCAACAATCAGAAAAAAACACTTCTAATGACAGCTCTGCAAGCCATTCACTGTTCGACCTTGGGAAAGTCAAAGCACTGGTTTTTTGCAAGACTTGAAATAGGCTGTCATATATAAATGATAAAAAATGTCAGGAAAAAGCAAGTTTTAAAGTGTGGCTGAAGAATTCACAGCCTGTGTTGACCAGTGATAATAATACAGCCCTGCTCAATTGAAGGTCCTGTAGTATCAGTAGAACTGCTCGGAAACATTCTATTCTAAGTGAGCTTTATCAGGTGATGGGAAGGGACACTGGTATTTGGCATACAACATCATTTACATTTCATTAGAGACAGTCACCTTATTTCTTTAGAGCTCTTCGAAAATCCCAGGAATTTTACCGTTAAGAGAACCCTGAATTTGTCCCTCAGAATTCGGAACTGATGGTTCATGTCAGTCTGGGTCAATGTTAATAAATAGTAACATAATATATACAAACAGAATGACATTCTCAGTGCACTTTAGTCTCCTTTTATGGCAACAGGAAGTCTATACCTCATTAACTGAACTCTTCTCTGATTTTCATGGCAGGTTCCAGAAGAGGAGAAACGACATGAAATTCACTCCAACAACTATGATGAGCACAGCGGATTTGAAGCCACCATGTAGAAAAACAATTAATTTGCAATATTTGTCCTAATGATGCTCTTTTCAGTTTCTAATGCTAAAAAACAACATCTGAGTATTGTCCTAACCACACTAGGTTTTCAAGAAGGGGATGTAAATAGCTATATCTTTGAAATATAAAACAAGCTTAATTTTAGAATACATAGTCATTATGTCAAGCTCAGGTGAATTAATTAGATACTTCCAACAAATTTGTTCATCAGAAAAACCTACTACAAACTACTCAACAAAATTATCTGTATTTTACCTTTTGTTGTCACTGAGTTAACACAGACATTGAAACAGCCTTTGTGTTTCAAGCCTATTACAGGATACCATATTTAACTGCAAGATTTCTGAGTCACTGTCACATCCTTCAACTGTGTAGGGGTAATCAAGAAGAAATGGATTGATATTGTTAATTTGGATTCTAATAAGTTTTCACCAAACCATCCCAGATTAACTTTTTAAGAAAGTGTGTTGTCCTATTTTTGTATAGGGGAGAAAATGTGCTGTACTTTGAACACTGGTTGTGACAGGAAACAAAATGTTGAAATTATTTCCATGGCAAAGCACAGAATATAGTGTTTGATGAGGTATACTAAGTGGCAATATGAATATCAAGATTCTTGTTAACGTCTATGGAAAGGGAGAAGAAAGCAAAATGGTGAAAAATTTCATTATTGGCACAGATTTATTTAGACTTTCAAGGACACGATAAGGAAATTGGGTAGGAGCTGTGAAAAACAGGTAATTACATAATATGTCTTATTACATCCAACAGTAGCAAGTGGATGGTAGCACTGTGAGTGTTAATAGATATAAACTGAATGAAATGTTAGCTCCAGGAAAAATCATAAGTTGTTAGGAACTGATTGGAAAGCAACTATGTTCAACCTATAGAAGACTCAGTGGAGAACTGTGTGGTGAGTCGTTTCTTTTGAAGTCACTGCCTCCTAAAACAAGAGAAAGCAGGAAGAAGAGAATTGAAGCTAAATGAAGGTAAATTAACTCCACCTGAGAAGTTATGATAACGGCTGCTCAATTAAGAGAGGCAAAAATTGAGGTATCTGAAGGAACTCTATGAGATGACAGTAGCTGGGAACAGTCACACATCTGTGCCTACCTACATGGGGTAAGCAATTGAGAGACAATGGATAGGATATGAAAATCTAGCAGAAGGATCACAGTGTCTCTAAGCATTATTCGGACGCAGAAAGCTACCACTGATATCTCAGAAGGACAAGCTACAGTGGATGAACTTTCAAGACGTTTTTGTATTAGCATTTTATTTATCAGATTTAAGGGGAAAATTCCTCTGATACAAAATAGCAGATATTTTTGGTTCTGCTGATGTATTTTTCCTTGAAAAACTTTAGAAAGATACTAGGCAGGGCTGTCCTGTGTGTTGTATCAGCTGTATACTGCTATATATGTCAGATTCCTATCTATGAATGAAAATACATTTGTGGTAACACACTTTAGTTCAGTGATGCTCTTTTGCAGATACTCAACGACTGACTCTTTTCTACATTGTTGGCTAGAAGACATCTTTTATCCTTTCAAACAATCGTTTTTGTAAAAACTGAGAAGGCATTTAACAATGTAAATATTGCATATGTAAAGATTTTAGAAGTATTTTGTGAACAATTTACAAATAAAAAGTATTGAAGTACTTGAAAAAGACTCTGTATGTAGACAGACTGCAAAAATCTTATCCTCAATCCATGAAGCTCACCCCTCAAAATCCTACTTGAGGACTCAGAGGGTCTTTCATTCACCTACAGCTGTAATATCACTCATTGTAAGTGTTGACCACAAAGGAAGACCTGAGTGAGGACATACCATTCACTATGAGTAAATCTTTCAGAATTATGCCCTCAATAACTACCTTTAGTTCCCTAAAATGAAAAGGGGAAAAATAAACTATACTGTTTTTTTCTCCAGTTCTCCTTGTAATCTTTCAATAGTAACCCAGACCCTCATCCACTGAGTGCCCATTATTGTTCTCTGTCTTTTTTCAGAATATTACTGCCCAAGATAAATCAGTCCTACAGGTTCTATCAAAAAAACAGAGCAGGGAGATGTATTGTTTTATATGGAATTTTTTTCCACCTAACCTAGCTATCATTTTCGGGAAATTCTTTGTTTCCTTTTTGACAAAGAAGGACCTTAGAAGTAGGGCCTGTAGTGACAGGACAAGGAGTAGTGGTTTTAAACTAAAAAGGGGTAGATTCAGACTGGATATAAGGAAAAAAAATTTAAAATGGGGATGGTGAAACACTGGAACAGGTTGCCCAGAGAGGCAGCAGAAGCCCCATCCCTGTAAACATTCAAGGGCTCTGAGCAACCTGATCTAGCTAAAGATATCCCTGCTCATTGCAAGAGTGTTGGACTACATGACCTTCAAAGGTCCCTTCCAACCCAAACCATTCATTGATTCCATGCTTCTAAGTCTAGCTTAGCCTTGGAAACTATATTTTAAATGGCTGAAGCCATTTGAGGAGTATATGATTTTAACAACTGGAAGAGGGATTACAAACGCATCTGTGAAAAATACTTCAATAGTTCCATTCTGATGTTCACAATACTTAAAAACTAGCAAATAATAGAGAAAAAGCATTAGGACAATTAGAAATGCAAAAAGCTGATGTTGTAAAAACATCGAACAAGAAATAGGACTAGAAGCGATCTCTTGAACAAGGTGGTGCAGTCGGATGACTAAACCTTCACGTGCAGTTAAACTAAATGAACACGATATGAGAAACTACAGATCATTATAAGAGAAAATTTCTGGATGTGACAGGAAACAGTGTAACACTGATAAGAATTACAGATAACACCGTGAGAAATGAAAAGGGAATTACATAAGAAATAGCCTAATAGCACAGACAATTGTAGGGGAGAATTGGGGACCTTCTGGGAAGCATAACCTTGAAAGGCCAGCAGTGTCCCTGTAAGCACAGCTGAAATACCCACCTCAGGTACAGATGCAGCAAATTTAATTAGTAGCGGGCAAAGATGGGGAAAGCAAAGAAATAGGAAAAGGGACAACGAGGCATGAGAAAACACCTGCAATGGGGGCTGTCTGGGGCATCTGTCAGGCAGTCCTGAGACAGATCACTGCAGCCTGGAGCAAGACAATAAATCAAATCTCTTGTTTTGATCATCCACACATGTTTGATTTCCTTCTGTGATCTCCATCTTGCTATGGTGGAGATGATGATGATGCACAACCCAAAATTCATTCATTGCCTATGGTCAGATAAGTGTCTCGGCTCAAGACAGATGAATCCAGGCCTTATGGTTTGTCTACCTTATATGAAAAGATTGGACACAGCATGTTTCAGTATTTTTCCAGCATGTTTCAGCCTGCTCTTCGCCCCTAATAGATTCTCTGTGCAAGATGATGCACAAAGGTGTCTGTGATAGTATCATCAGGAAATGAAATACAGCACTTGTTGGCTTTCTAGATAACCTGTGTTTAATCAGACCTTTAAACATTACTTTCTTTTCAAGGTGGTTCTGCCCTTGAAGTGTATGATTCATTTCTTCTAACGTTATTTACCCTAATCAGGTATCAGTGGCATTTGATTCTCTGTCTTAGAGCAGAGAGGATGGTACTAGAGGGTGCTAGGAGGAGCATTGTTAGCAGGTCAAGGGAGGTGATCCTTCGCCTCTACTCAGCACTGGGCAGAGGCACACTCAAAACAGAGCAGTCACTCAAAACACTCTGACCAAGCAATGTAAACCACAAGCCCGGGTGCCAGGCAGAAGCAGGAAAACCTCCCGCTCAAGGGTATCCAGAAACTCAAATCACTCACTCAAAAGGGGCGAGGGCTCACTCAAGGACAGACCCAGCAGAAGCAGTCACTCACCAAAGGTGTTGGAGTGAGAGCGCTCAACCTCAGGCAATTTCCTCAAGCAGCATCCCGACCTCAGGGGAGAGTCTCCAGCTGCAGCCCCACTGTTCCCAGAAGGACTGACTCCCATCAGCTCTCTGGCAGGCTCCGTTCATACCCAAGTTGAGTCTGACCTGTGGTCAGTTCCAATTAGTTGGTGCTGAAGGAAAAAGACAAGGTAAGCAAAGCATCAGGTTTTAGCAGCCAGCAAGTCCCCGTTTTTGTGGTCTTTGTCTGGTCTCCTGAAAGACCTGATCTTTGTCAGGTCTTCAGCAGGGCAGGTGCATCTGCGGCAAGTAGTGAGGTCACACCTGGGGTGCTGTGTCTATTTCTTGGGTCCCCAGTACAAAAGAGATATGGACATACTGGAGAGAGTCCAGCAAAGGATCATGAAGATGATAAGGGACTGGAACATTTCTCCTATGAGGAAAAGCTGAGAGAGCTGGGACTGTTTAGCCTGGAGAAAAGAAGACTCAGAGGGGACTTATCAATGTATATAAATACCTGAAGGAATGGTACAAAGAGGACAGATCAGGCTGTTTTCAGTGGTGCCCAGTGACAGAAAAAGGGGCCAGTGGCACAAACTGAAACACAGGACATTCCCTGTGAACATCAGGGAACGCTTTCTTACTGTGAGAGTGACCAAGCACTGGCACAGGTTGCACAGGCAGGCAGTGCAGTCTCCCTCCTTCGAGATATTCAAAAACTGTATGGACATGATCTTGGGCACCTGGCTTTAGGTGGCCCTGCTTGAGCGGGGGCATTGGACCAGGTGACCTCCAGAGGTCCCTTCCAACCTTAACCATTCTCTGATTCTGTGATTGGAAATTCCCAACGAATTCAATTGAAACAGAATTAGACCAATATCTAAGCATTTAAAAAAACCAAACCAAACCAAAACAATTTTGTGCAACTAATCACTTGGGCAATGGCATTTCTGATTTCAGTTCTCAGGGTATCAAGGCTATGCCTGTACTAATGAAGAAAATATAACTAATCAGTAACCTGAAGTGCATGCAGAATTTATGACCTTTATACCAAACACCAGGTTGATGACCTGTGATTTTCCATGTTCTTGGACTTTCATTCTTGGACAGTGATCTACATGTTCACCCAGTTACACACACTTGGCTAGCAAACATTTACCTGCCTCTGTACTGTGCTGAGGATTCATTAGTAAGCACAGGGAAGAGAACAAAACCAGTCACCAGTCACAAGAAAAAGATACCCTTCACTGGGCAAGAAGCTTATAGACTGGTATAAGGATCTCTCACAGGAAATTTTTGAAGGAGGACAGAGATCCAGAGTCCACATTTTCTCTTTTCTTTTCTGTAGCAACAGAATAGAGATGGAATGGAGCAGCTGCATTTCCGTTGGTTTGATGTTCATCCTGAGTGTTCTGTACATTTTGAAAATTGGAGGTTTCTGGAATAACCACCGGAAAAAGAATTTTCCCCCAGGACCAAGAGCACTACCTATCATTGGAAATCTGCACATGTTTGATTTGAAGAGACCCTACAAGACTTATCTACAGGTAGTCATTATCTTTTCTGTTGGTCCCACAACTGCACCTGTCACCAAGCCCCATAGTCCAAGATGTCAGAGAGTTTCTCCTATTGCACTTGATATATTGCATCTACGGATGACCCTCAGCAAGAGACAGGAGATGGTTATTTGAGCAGAAAACTGAATGCAGCAAGATTTGTTCCTTACTGTTATGCTTTCTCTGTGCAAAATCATGCATCTAAATTTCAGTCTCAAACAACTTTCAGATTAACAGCAAGTGCTCACCTTATTTTTGTGATAATTTTGAGAAAAAGGTAACTGAGCAAGGAGTGATTTTGATGTATGGTCTAACTCCCTTCGCTTTCCACTGGTTGGTGATGTGTCTGGGGTAGTGACTGCAGCTTCCTGCCTTCACTGATTTAGCAACCCTTCTCATCTCCCGTTCCTTCCTTTCTTCCCCTAAAGCTGAAGATAACTATATTAATATTCAGGGACAACACTTGCCGGAATCTAAGCAAATCAAAGTACTAAATCTTCGGGTTTTCTTCTAGTGCTTTTTTTACCTAGGTTATTGTAGGACTTCCCTGATTCTGAGTCAGAAGTCTTCCATGAATCTACTCCTTTCTTAGAATTTTTTCTACTTTTAAACATTGAAATTACACATCCTCCTTGTCAATGATATTTAAGGGATATTTGCACCTACATATCTGTATGTATGTTACATCCACATCATACCCCTCAGACACAGTATCTGGAAAATCACTATAGCTATCCAATGTAGCCTAATTGTGTTGGCAAAAACAGGTTCCACCTTTTTTCAGGCCAACAGGACCAACACGTCTCTGCTGTAAATCAGTGAACCCATTCTAATGGAGGAGGTTGGTTCTCTGACTTGATCTTAGCTCACGATTTAATATTCACCCATTCTTGGTGTGTGAACACAACTGGAGACCATATGCTCATCTTGAGCATCCTTGGAATGTCCTCACTGGAGAACACCCTCTGAAAAGATGATATTCTGCCACAGCCAGAGCAGTCTGGAATAACAGTACCACCATCAAAGAAGAAACTCTTATTTCAGACGTGTCACTGCTGCTATGTTATTTCGTATAGTGGGCTGGACTTGCTTACCTGTTGCTGAACATTTTCCATGTCGATGCTGAATAGTTGCTTTCTGTTTCTCTATGCAAACACACTAGAAAATAAGTGCAGTCAGGAAAACCCCTTCCTATTGTCAAAAGAATCAGAAACATTGAGTTATATGAAAATAAATCTGCCTGTACAAGCTAAAAAGGTACCAGCTTAGGCCAAATATGGTCTCTGAGACAGATTCATGGTGGATGTAGTCATGTATAAAAACTGAGAATTTACCTAATGGTAGTTCCTGTCCCAGAAATACACTGGGGTTTTTATACAAAATGATAGCAAAGATTTGAACAGGTTTAGCCTGTAAACAAAAGAAACACGATAACATGGAGATCAGTGTGAAAACAGGAGTCAAAAACTGAATTTCCAGGGGTTCCTGAGGGAAGGCAGAGCTGTCAGCCCAACCCTGGATGGACTTGGGGTTTCAGCTGTTAACACTTCTGCTGTTTAGCACAATGGGACTCCACTCCTGGCTGTGCCATGTAGTCATTAGCCATCATAATGCCTGGCACATTCACATTATTTAAATCAATTCTCTTTCTTTATACTTAGGAAAACATTTAACATTTTAGTAACTTAGAGGCAGGACAGGAAAATAAGCAGTGCTGAAAGGGTGGTGAATTTCTTTGTAAGCTGTAAAACCTGTAAATCACCGTTTTCTTCTTCTGACAGCTGTCAAAAGTATATGGTCCAGTCTTCAGTGTTCAGATAGGACAGAGGAAAATAGTAGTGATCTCTGGATATGAGACAGTGAAGGAAGCTCTCGTAAACCAGGCAGATGCATTTGCAGAGAGACCTAAAATCCCAATCTTTGAAGATTTGACTGAAGGAAATGGTAAGTTGGTTTTATTTTTCCTTGACTTATTAAAAAAGTTTTTCCTGCAAATGAAGCAGAAGCTGGCACATCACTTCGGATCACAGACCATATAAGGCATTGGAAATAGGGAGCAATTTCATTTACTTCAGTGCAGTTATTCAAATTTGAAAATACTGACAGTGACAGCAAAACAACCATAAGTCTAACAATAACCACAGCAACAGATAATGGGTAGCATCACACTTTCAGGTTCTAGAACAGGGGTATGCGTGTCAGGGGATTTCTAGCTCTCATGGTATGGTTCTGGACTTCTGTTTCGGGTTTATCATACAAGCTCTTTTTCCTGAAATGAGTATTATACTGCTACTTCTCATTTTAAGTGGTGAATAGTGCTTTTAAAATCTGAATGTGACAATAGAACGGAACACATACAGAATTGGGGATTCACTTTAATAAGGGAAAAACTGTATACTGAACTGGGTTTCCAAATGAGAATTTCACACCCAAACTTCATTCTAATTTTGCATGAAAGTTTCATATTTACGTCTCCAAAGACCCTTGGACAAATTCAGGAATAAATCTGTGAACATTTTAAGAGTTGCACCTTTTAATCACATTATTGCATGTAAGCTTTCTTGAAACAATTTTTTGCTTTTAAAAAATGTAACTAAAGTAATTCGTTACATAGTGTAACAATTTCAGTGAAAAACTGATGGAGGAGGTTTTAAGATGCTACTTAAATTTTAAAGGCATTTGTGCCTAGTCAGGTTTCTCCTGCAATCATCAGAGACGTGAGATCTCAGTTCAATTCCACTTCTAAAGTATGATGATCAGCAGATTGAATCTGGATTTCCAAGGCTCTCTTTCTTTCAGTGACAAGTGTCTCTCAGAGACATATATTCTTAAGATTTTATTAAACACCTCTTAAATAGTTTATCCTCCTTTTTTTTGTGCAATAAACTTATTGTTGAGGCCTGAAAACACTTAAGGGAAAGTTTGGGGGTTTTCCTCAGGCAGATACAATTTAATTTGTTTTAAAATATCTACATTACTTGTCCGCAAAGTAATTATTTAAAATCTTCTGCCACCTTGAAATGTTCTCTTTGCATCAGGGGTTGTTTTTGCTCATGGGGAAAACTGGAAGGTGATGCGAAGATTTACTCTCACAACCTTACGAGACTTTGGAATGGGAAAAAGAGCCATTGAGGAGCGCATTGTGGAGGAGTATGGGTACCTCGCAGACGCCATTGCCTCACAGGAAAGTGGGTAGACGATTTATTCTTCAAAGCCTCTAAGGTTTTGTTCAAATACACAGAGGCTTGCCAGTAACCTTCTCAAGTTCAGACCTTCTTAAGAAATGTACTTCAGGCTGAATTGATTTGATGAATTTGGCTTCTCTGGCATTTTTGTGTCTTGCCATGGTATTCTAACACTGAATAATAATCAATAATAGTAATTAATCATAACAAATAAATGGCAATAATTAATATTAAATTTACATTTACAAATTACACCTCTTGCCACAATGTAATATATCCTTTTATTTATTGTATAGGAAAGCCCTTTGATATTAGTAAAATAATTAATGGAGCAGTTGCTAACATAATTGTGTCAATATTACTCGGAAAACGGTTTGATTACAAAGACTCCAGATTCGTGAGACTGCTACAGTTGACCAATGAAAACATAAGACTTGCTGGGAAACCTTTGATTGCGGTAATGCTAAATGTTTTTATGTTGCTGTTCCACTGGATGCCATAGGAACATAGTAATACTAGTAGTCAATTTTTTCTATTAAACAGAAAAATCTGAGACTCTGAGAGATAATAGGTTTACTGTCTGGGAATCTTGAAGCCAACAGTCAAACTCCCAGTCTCTTAAAACCATACTTGAGCTTTAGTCTGAAAAGTGTTAAATCTGAACTGAAAAAAATTGGACTGCATAGCGCATGAACAGCAAGCTCAGCATTCCCCAAAAATGTGGTTGACACGCATAAAGTGACCAGATAAAAGAGTGCACAGCCAGAACATGGGGCAGGGAGAAGCTATAGAGTATGTGGTCTATCTGTACAAGGAGCCCTGAAAGAAAATCTATTTTCCCATGCTTCCAGTACACTGAGATGTCTCAATGAATAATAAATACTCTCTGATATTCGCATGCAATTCACTTCTGTTCCTTTAGGCTTTGAAACAATACCAAAAAAAAGTCAGTGGAAGAGCTGGCTAAACCAATAAAAACACATTGCTGGCCAACATTTCCATCTCCCTGGTGTCAAGTTCAGGTGTTTGAGTCTGACATCTACACTACTCCTGCAAAATAGTAATTTGGGGCTGAGAGTTTTCCATAAGTTCAGTGGCTCTTGGTAGATTTTCTACCAAGTCCAGTTACTTTTTCATGTTCTAAAGAACAAAATATTCATGTTAAGTCTTTGTCTTTGTATCTGCAAAACAGGCACAGTATTATTGATTTGTTTCTGCAGTGTTTTCAGACCTCTGGCTGTAAATTCTCCCTAACATCTTTCACTCTTGCAGGTGTACAACACCTTCCCATGTCTTGGGCTCCTCCTAAGGGCTAACAAGACTCTTCTCCGAAACAGAAACGAATTCCAAGATTATGTAAAAGCTACTTTTCTGGAACACCTCAAAACTCTGGACAAAAATGATCAAAGAAGTTTTATTGATGCTTTCCTGGTTAAACAGCAGGAGGTAACTGAATCTTTTCTCATTTATTCCAACTTTTACTGTTATATGAAGCCATTTACAATTTCCTTCCAGTCCTTACAATTATAGCTATATTTCTTCAGGGAACCTATCTTTGACAAAACACATATAACAAACTGGTAGAGTTGAACAGATATTTTGCTCTCTTGCCGTTCCAAACCCCCCTTTTAGTCAGCAAACATTTATCTTTATTTATGCCGTTCTTCAGACTGTATCAATTTATTTACAGAGGCTGCACCTTTTCAGCTGCTCACTCTGTTGTCCTAGCCTTTCTGTCTCTTTCAAAAGCACTACAGAACAAAAGCGCTACCTGGGCTTCACTAGGATCCTTACTTGGAGTCTCTGATATATCTGGGTTACTTTCTTCACAGAGAAACCATATCTCTTTGCAGCTGGCCCCAGTAAATGCAGAGATCATGCAAAACATAAAACCTATATGTCAACACCCTTCCCCAGGTACAAGCCCAAAGCTATTCCTTTGTCTTTCACAACTTTTTTAAAATATAGGATTTATTTCTTAGTAAATATTTACCTATGTAAATTGCATTTTCATATGGAAAGCTTTAAGTTTTCATCCTTTTACCTCAACCATGTCTTTCAGGAGAAAACCACTACCAATGGGTATTTCCATAATGGCAACTTGCTAAGCTTGATGAGCAATTTGTTTACTGCCGGTGTTGAGACAATTACCAGCACACTAAACTGGGGCTTTCTGCTGATGCTAAAGTACCCTGATATTCAGAGTAAGTGGTTTTATGCCAGATGCCGCTACTTTCAGCGCACTAGGAACTGAACGGGAACCTTGTGGGTCAACATATCGGTTAATACGCTAAGTTACAGAAAGCCAAGCTTCCAGCTAATTATTATCTTGGTATCACTATGTCTTGTGGTTCAGACCCAGTGAGGGGCACACTAGTCAGCCTACCAGTAGATTATAAACAGAGTTCATACAGCCAAGTATATGACTGACACGTCCATTCGAGTTTATGATACAGGGTTGTTAGGAGTGAAGTGGGGTTTTGGAGATACCTCTTAGAGCAAGAAACTTCAGGCAAAAGAGAGGGCAGAAAAATATGAGCTTTTAGGTTTCTTACTGGTAAAGAAATTATCAAACGCTGTAGTTCTCTCCACCTCCCATTACTTCTGAAAGGAAAAAAAAAGATTTTGGGAGAATTTGTGGTTTTCACTCAAGGTCTTTTCTACGTTACATCAGTAAAGCACAGTATGTCTCAGGGATCAATGAGTCCTTGTCACTTTCTTAGAGTTGATTCTTTCCTCAGGAAAGGTCCAAGAAGAGATAGAGAGAGTGATAGGGTCAAACCCCCCACGGATCGAGCATCGAACTCGGATGCCATATACGGATGCTGTCATCCATGAAATTCAGAGGTTCGCTAATATCTTGCCATTGGACTTGCCTCATGAAACTGCTGCAGATGTTACTCTCAAAGGCTTTTTCATTCCCAAGGTGAGATGCCTACAGGATTGTTTCTTTTAGCATTTCTTCTTTCTCAAACCTGGTTAATGTGATAAACATGAACTCTCTAATGAAGTCACATAACAGCAGTCAGAATAACTTTTTTCTTCAGGCTGATGATATTGAAGTCTCATCGCTGTTACTGCCACCACAGTATTTGTCCACAGATTAATTCCACTGTCTTATTTTACAGGGAACCTACATCATCCCCTTATTGACCTCTGTCCTGCAAGACGAATCGCAGTGGGAGAAACCAGACATGTTCTATCCTGAGCACTTTCTTGATGCCAACGGAAAATTTGTGAAGAAAGATGCTTTCATGCCTTTTTCAGCAGGTGCCTTTTCTTTTCCATTTACTGCTATTGCAAGTACAAATCTTAGACAAGAACTACTTATACCGGTGTTTTTTGTTACCAAAGCCTGGCCTGCACACTGTCTTTTTCATGGGACCATTTCACAACCCATATTTCACATATTTCTCAGGACACTTCTGATAAGAGACAGTACTCACAAATCTCTGCTCATACCTCCAGCCTCTGGATGTTATTGGTTTCTCAGTTTTATAAATGAGAATTTGTAGTGCCTTCTTAAATATGAGGGAAGTTTCCAGCAAATTCCGTGATGGTTTAAATAACACATTTCTGCATTATAATTTATAGCCCACAGCTGTTCTATGGCCTCAACTTCTTTGCCTCTGACTCTTACCATACCCAGCTGCATGTTTATGACCACACGCAAAGCACGCAGGAAAGGTGGCTTCTGTGTCTTACCTCGGGAACTATGTTTCATTTTTGCACATCCCTCTTAAAAAGTAACAAATAACATCGGCTGGGATCAAGACTCCACATACTGTGCCAGCAAAGAGGAGTTGCCTTACATAAAACCCCCAATTCTGTGTACATCAAAGAACAGAAAGGGGTTGCCTTTTGAGGCTTCCACATAGCATGCCATTCACCTAGGCTTACACACCTGCACGGTTTGCCACAGAATGGGGGACTCTGACCTCCATGATGACTGCTCCTTCGCTGTCATTTCTCCTGCTTTGCAGGCTCTGTCAGTGCTCAATTAAATTCCTACACTTTAGCCTCTGGCTATGTATCCGTCATATCCACAATGCATTTTTTAGAAACCCTGTTTGTGTATTTGAAATTCTGCATGATGTATGAATAAGGTTTTTTTGTCATACTCACCATCCAACATACATTAAATAATTATTTTTCATAGAAGGACTTATGATACTTCCAATTTACAAGCCTCCTTTTTCACATTTAAGTCTAAAGGTCCTAGCTGAAAGGACATCCAGGGATCTGGGCATTTCCTGGAGGGTTTATTTCACAGCACAGACATGCAATAATTCTTCATTTTCCGCTTTCTGTCATACAAGGGAGTTAAAATCTAATCTTAGTCCAGGTTTTTGTTAGTTCTGGCCTCAAATTATCACGCTCTTATTAAGGTAGTTTACAAGCTGCTTAATTTGACCAGGACTGACAAAAATTTATATTTACAGAGGTTTTGCAGAAAGGCTTATAGGCTTATGTTAGGGAACATCTACCCCACCTTCCTCCCTAGTCCAACTCTAACCAGCGTTTGTGAGTCTCCAAGGTCTTTTCTGACAAATTTTAATATAAAAGTTGTCTCTGACTAGACTAACAGAACCAAAGTCTAGACTAAACCAGACAAAGTGGTCTGGGATCCAAAAACTGAAGAAAGTAGCGTAAAAATCTGAAAATTAAGAAAAATATGAATTTTATTGAAAATTGGGATTAAGGAATTGAGATTGCATTTCCACACATTTCTCCCTAAATGTAAGCATTTAGACAAAGGAAAAGAAAATGTATCACCAGGAGGCTTTGTTATCATAACTCTGAAGACCAAGTATCCTCTCTCTCAGGTGATTCTTGAATAGACTTTTAAGAGCTACTCTGTTCTTTATTCATAGCTAGGGTATGACATTTCAAGGGTTCTGCATTCCCACTGGTCTTCCTCAGAATAAAACCTGCTCAGAGGTTTTTATTTCTTCCAACTGTTGAAGAAGCATCTCCCACTGACTCTTCTATGGCCATTCTGCATATCGTTCCAGGCCGGAGGATCTGCGCCGGTGAGACTCTTGCCAAAATGGAGCTCTTCCTCTTCTTCACCAGTCTCCTGCAGAAGTTCACCTTCCACCCTCCCCCTGGAGTTTCTATCTCAGACCTGGACCTCAGCCCTGGTATTTCATTTAACATCGTCCCCAAACCATATGAAATGTGTGCTGTAGCACGTTCCTAGAGCTCTAATCAGCACCAGTTTGTTTTAAAAAATGTTTAAATTACTTTCTCATGATATCTGCTTTCTTAATTCTTTGGCCAAAATAATTCACAACTTTACATCTTAATTAAGTTTTCCAGTACTTCTAAAACAGAGTGGTGTTCTTTTATTTTTTATTTATTTTATTTATTCTTTATCCAGAAGTGTGCACTAACTGATGACTCACGGATCAACCCATTAGATCACTTAATTTGGGCTAAACAATATAGACCCTCAGCTTTCACATTCATTCTTCAATTTTCACTTGGTAATGTATGTTTGTTGAAAGGGAATGCTCACCAGTCTAGGTTTCTCCAAAGAGACATATAGACAACGGAGCTGTGCCTAGTTTGTAATGCCCTGCTTAAAGATAAGCACTGCAGAGCCTCTGTGGTGAATGTGGGATGTTCAGAGCTTCAGGTCTTCAGAACAGAAGGGCTGTTTGGTCTTGGAAGGCAGATGGGTTTGAAGCTGGGTCGGATATACCAATGTTCCCCAATACCTCATTGCAGCTTCTCCCTTTGATTCTTCTCCCTAACCCTTCCCCTCTTCAGGAGCATTCAGTCCCTACCTCTGCTTGGGCAGTAATTAGTGCTGACCCTCTGTGGTATGCCTTAAAGCCAGTTTCTCTTAGGCAGGCTATTGCTCTTGGTCCTAGAAGGATGATATTCTTTGTTCTACCGTTTCTCCTGAAAGTAGGTGATGAAACAAGACACTCATTCCTTCTTCTAGGAGGAGTCACTCCTCTGAACATTCCCTTTCATTTGATCTCATTCCCTTGGTTTGGGGGGTTTCATATCAACACTTCTCCATGTGCCTTTGTCTCCTTACCCAAAAAAGATTCCAATCATTAGGCTGTAAATAATTAGATAATTATTAGGACACTCAATCCATTTTAAAGTTGGTATACAAAGCACAATTCAACTGCTTTAATCCCAAGCCTCTCGCACAATTTTAGATACCCTTAGATCTTTTGCTTGGCCTTCAGCTGCCAGGATGAGGGAAACAGGTTCCGTGCCATATAAGCCCCATGTGCATGTTTGTTTCAGATAATGTAGATACTTCAAATATCTATGAGTGTTCAAATGTAGACAGCTAGATAGAGACTAGTGATTAAAGACTCCAAAGTGAAAATAGTATGAGAAGCCAAAAATTGCATGAGTGGTTCCACCATTTAATTTTCAGGAGCAAATTTGCCCTCCTCTTGAATTCTTCTAATGTAATAATTTCCTTTGAATTTTAAGGAAAATTTTTACAAAGGAGTAGTAAACTTGTAACTTAGACCTGGATTCACAAAGGTGTTAAATACAAAGGAAATTTAGCCTGGGATTTTTATTTGTTTCCAAATTTCAGGAGGCAAAGAGTTTTAAAACTCATGTTGCTCCTACTTTCCAAACCAGGCTGCAGAGAAAGTGCAGGTGAAAACTTTGCCAACATGGAGTTCTCCCTGTTCTTTACAGGAGTCCTACAAAGGTTCATGTTTCTTCCTGCCCATGGAGCACCCATTTCAGGTCTGATCACAATAATGTGCACTGGCCTTTCAGTAGACATTTTAGGATCTGACCTATGATTTGATAGTCTTTTTTTGCTAATACGTAACTTAACACTCTCCTGTCACCACAGAGGATTGTACAGGTGTAATAGTGGCAGAAGTCTATTTTTTTCCCATTTCTTCTAAACATTCATAAATGTCTCCAAATCCATCCTTCAGCTTGGCCATTTTAAACAATACACAGTTGTCTCCACTTCCAGTAGAGGACAGAGCAGGAAAAACAATGCAGAATGGTCAAACTTACTAAATACAACAGGAGAACACTCCTACACATCTTCCTTGTGCTCATGGAGCTGTATAACCTCAGTTGTTATCCTCTCTGAAGTGCCAACTCTGCTAACTGTACAGACTCATTATTTGGTATCTCAGAGGGAATAAAAAAAAATCAGAGTTGCTGAACTGGAAGTTGTAGTACTCCAGATCCTCACAGCCTCTGTTGCTATTTAGCCCAGGGCTCCTGTGAGAAAAACTAACGTAGCTTATAGGGCATTTCCATTGCAATCTTATGTGTGTCTGCCTTCTGAGCTATGTTTGCACTTGGAGAAGGTGATGCTTTTCATCAATTAGCTGATATCTGTGAAAATTACAATTAGTTATCTTTATCAGGAATTAAAACTTTTTTCTTTTAATTCTCTGCCCCTGAATTTTAAGTGTTAAGAACATTTATGAAAATACAAGGGTGTTCCACTGAAGGCAAGCTTTGAAAAAAGAGAATCACTGTAAGAAAAGGTCTTAGAAGTTAGTGATCATGTTTCATTTTGTGAAGCTGTTCTTTCTCCTATCATCAAAGTACTCAAAACAAATCAGATGATTGTTTCTTGCTCCTATTAACCTTTAAATAATACATATTTATCTCAGTAATGTAAGAAATCAACACGAAGTCTTGCATCTATCTTACAAAGATTCTGAAGCCAGAGAAAGAATGTGATAATTGAAAGCATGACCGCAGTGCATGAAGAGGTGGGAGGTGATACCATTGCACTGTGTTTCCCTGAGAGAGTTTCTGTTTGTAAAAACAGCTAATCTCATGTAACCATCTTTGTACATATTGATTCATACAACCTCCATTGACCTGCTATCTGAGGCTTTTCCACATATTTATCTTCAAAGATAGAACCAGATCAAACCTGATTTTTCAGTCTGTTTCCAGCTCTAACTTTTCAGAAAAAAAACCACTCAGTTTAAACACTGGTTTTTTACTTGGGGGATTGGAGACAAAATTATGAAAAGAAATTATTGTTTCATGAGCAAAATAGCTCCCTGTTATTTACACTACTTCTTGGCAGCAGTTGCCACCAGCCCTAGAGAGGCTAAATCTCCATTTCTAGATTTGTTCTAATTCAGAAGGGGGACGTCATCTGAAAGATAACAATATCAGATTGTGTGTCAGTTACAGCATAGTTGCGTGGTTTGCAAGATCTCCAGGATGAACAATGTCTCAGAGGCCAATACTCCTCCAGGCAAGAACCACAGGCTTCAGAAGAAGGCAGAACCCAGTTGTACTAGAAACAGGACATTCATTCACATCTAATGTTCACCAGAAAGGCCCACGGTTATAATCACAAGAGTATTTAGTCTGTTGGTCTGTCCAGTTGCCTTGGACTGCTGACTGACTGCATCTCACCCTGAGAAGAACCAGAAACTCTCTCTCCACCATGTGACACTTACACCTGTAAAGTGGCAAATTCTTCTTTAATTGTTATTTCACTCTCATTTCCCTGCTATTTTCTGTCCCAATGATGGAATGCTACAAGAAAGACAAACAGCCCTGAAAATTTATTTCTCAAATATATCTGCCACAGCCTACCATACGCAAAGAAATAACACTTTTGTCCTTTTCCTGAGAAGCAGATCGCTTCTCAGGAAAAACCTCAAGCCAAACTGACCTGAGTCCAGAGGGTCATTAAGATTTTTCCTCAGCAAATAAAGAACGCATTCGCAGCAAAATAGCTGGCGCTTTTGTAATGAACCTTCTGACTTGTTATTAAACATTGCATAAACATTGTCTGCAAATTCCAGCTGGCAGAGGGCTTCCACCTCCTAGCCACAGTAAGAGGAAGTTAAAATTGACTGAGCGCCAAAATAGCTCTCGATCAATACGCTTCAAGCCTCCACGTCTGCTCTCTCCCCGTAGGCAGCGTGGGAGTTGAGTGGTACTCTTGGTTCAGGCCCAGCATCCTCAGGGTGCCACCCAGACTCACCAGGGCACTCCTTCCTTTGTCAGACCAGACTGCCAAAACCAGTTCTCGTTCAGGTTTTAGTTAATCTCCCTGTCAAAAGGAAACAGGACTCCTTTCATTCTGGACCTGACTCCTGTGAGGTGCTGCAATCATGGCCCCTTTCAGTCCAGTAGATAAACACCAGCTTAAGGCTAAATCTTAAGAGTACCCAATAAGCATTTAATTCAGGTTTGTGAGGAACCTTACTAGCAGTGCCGGGTACGTGTTTGCACAGAGGTGTCCACAAAATACTAGAGACACACAGTAAATTCACCAGGGACATCTTCCACTACACCAGGTTGCTCCAAGCCCCATCCAACCGGGCCTTGAACACTGCCAGGGAGGGGGCAGCCACAGCTTCTCTGTGGCACCCACTGGGATGTTCTGTTGTATTTTACAATTCCCTCCTCCCTCTGTTACACGCTTACGAGATAAAGCTAGCCCCATCTGCAAAGCTCTCAGAGAGCGAAGAGGAAGGCCCCAGTCACATCGGATCCATGTCTCAGAAGAAAAAATAAAAAAACCACGCCAATCTACTTCTCTCTGCAGCCAGGTGACAGCAGCCTTGAAGTCTGGCCACAAGTCCACCACCACCTCCTTCCTGAAGGGGTTTCCTCGGTTGATGTTCATCACAGCTCCATAAACCGGCAGGATGAAGAGCCAAGAGCAGAAAGACAGTTTGAGACATGTTAACATGGCACTTGTGTTATAAACCAGTGAACCATTCACACAGAGCTGAAAGCACACGTTTAGATTTTCCTGCACACACACACACACACACATCACATAGGTTGATACCTACATGCTCATCAGTAAGGCCTATTACCATGAGGGCAAACCGTTGTGTCATTACGCCAACCTTAATTACTTTGGAGAGGAGGTGGACCAGCTTGCTTCTTTCTTTTCTGAAGTATGTAGATTTGGGTTAGTAAGCAGGGCCAAACGAGTATCTCAGATATAGTCATCTAAACAGCAAACATCAGTCAGTCCAGACGAACAACCCTCTCCCCACAACTTTGATTCCCTGACAAATGTCCTGATTCACTGATGGAAATACCACAGAAAATGACAGGTCAGCACTGTGTTACCTTGAGGGACTCAGGGAAACTCCATCGTAGCATTTTTTCCAGCATCTGCAGCTTCCTGGAGCAGTTGAGCACCAGTATCTTCCTTGCTGAGAACACATACACACACACACACAAGGTGTAAAC